AGGAATTCCGGCGCAACCTCCACTGGGCACTCAGCGCACCCCATGCTCCCGAGGGTGAGCCTTCTACAGAAGGTAAACGCAGGCTGAGAGCCAGGTATCCTGGTTGGCACAAGATGTGTAGCCCCCATGTACGCCGGGGAGCCCAGCTCCCTGCCCTCACTTGCATGGGACTGGCATCCTTGTGGCTCAAGACGTGGCTTCATCCAAACATTGTGGCTTTCCCTGAGTTTCTGTTGCTATGCTCTGCAAACTGCCACAGTCCTTGATGCTGGAGACCTCCAGCGCTTTCTCGGGACCTCCAGCCCTTGCTGGGCACCCTTGCTTGCTCCTTTCCCAGTCCCTTTCTCCTACAGGGGGGAAGAGTCTCGGTTCTGCTGCCGTCACCTACAAGCCAGATCAGCTGCCCCCAGAAAACTCCTCCTTTCTGGAAAGGAGCTTCGTGTGCCGCTTTCGCTGCCTCCTGGATAATTCCTCCGGCTTCCTGGTGAGTACAGGCTCACCCCAAGGGGTCCGTGCCACTGCTGGAGCATAAAAGTTGGCCTTTAAAGACCCAGTGCTCCTTTATGCCATGTGCAGCACCCGCCTGTCTCAACAAGGAGATATTTCTGCTTTTTCTGATTTTTTTTTTAAATATTTCAAAATTTTTTTTGAAAATATATTTTTTGAGGTATTTCCGGTATTTCTGATTTTTCATAGGTTTGGTCTGTACCTACAACCTCTCTGTGTGGGTTTTGTTCCTCTCTTCTCAGAGGTGCTGAATCTTGAACGAAAGTGCTTTTCCTCCACACATTTTGCCAGGTTTTTGTGTTAAAGGCATCTCTTAAGATCAAGTAGGTGGTGTTCATCCCTCCTCCTCTCTGCTGCAAGTTAATGGGGTTCTTACCTTCATAACCACAGGTGTAACAATGCTGTTTCTCTCATCCTGCTTCAGTTTGGAAACTCAATATGAAGAAAAAGTCCTGGTTGTCTGTTGTTTAGAAGCAACACTATGATCCCTGATGGGGCTGTGATATAGCTCAGTTAAAATGCAAAGCGGCCCATGCATTGCGTGATGCCCTGATGCAACTGCAACATGTGCTCGGTCCTGCAGCTGCTGTGCATCCAAGCCCAGGGCTGGCAATGAGTAGCTGCAGGGGGAGAAGGCAGTGGGCTGCTGCTGCTGCGGGGAGCTCATCCTCCATCTTATTTTAGTAGGGAGCACTGGAATCACAAGGGACAAGTCACAAGGGATTATTTGCATTAACTCTGCAGCGAGATGGCTTCTTTTCTGTGCAGCTCTCCTCCCTCTCTTCTCTCTGCACCGAGTTTTCTGTGTGACACTGAGCTTTTCTTCTCTTCCCAGGCTTTAAACCTTCAAGGCAGGCTGAAATTCCTTCACGGGCAGAACAAAAGGTCTGAAGACGGGTCTGCACTGCCACCCCAGCTCGCTCTTTTCGCTATTTCCACCCCCTTGCAGCCCCCGTCGATCCTGCAGATCCGAACCAAGAACATGATCTTCAGGACAAAGCACAAGCTGGACTTCACCCCCTTGGCGTGCGATGCCAAGTAAGCAGCAGAGCTGATTTGAGGGGCGATGCTGCGGGCTTCCAGCGTGCCAGTCCCTACCCTGCCTGGGTGATGTCCCACCCCAGCTCTGCCTCTGAGCTGGGTGCATTCTCGGTCTCCCACAGGGGGAAGATCGTTTTGGGCTACACCGAGGCGGAGCTGCGGATGCGCGGCACCGGTTACCAGTTCGTCCACGCTGCCGACATGCTGTACTGTGCCGAGAACCATGTCAGGAGTAAGAGTCCCTTCCCTGGTCCCTCGTGCCAGCCTCTGAGGCCAATGAGTGGACTGGGCTATGGGAAGCTCCATTGGCTGCTGTGTCAAGCCTGGCAGCTCTTTCCCCATAGGATGCTTTGCTTTATGCCTTGCTGTGATGCTCATGTCGCTGCAGGGGGCTTGGGGTGGTGTGTAGTGAAGGGTATTTACCTGGGATGGTGTCCTCTGTCTGTGCCAGTCATGCTACTGCTGTGACCCCACCTGCTTATCCCGGCTGGAAATGACAGCATCGCTGGAGGCAGCCCTGCCTCCGGTGACGTGCTGACAGCCCTTGGCACGCATGCTTCCTCCTGGCAGTGATGAAGACGGGTGAGAGCGGCCTGACGGTCTTCCGCCTGCTGACGAAGGAGAACCGCTGGAAGTGGGTGCAGGCCAATGCGCGGCTCGTCTACAAGAACAGGAAGCCAGAGTACATCATTGTCACGCAGAGACCCCTCGTGTAAGTGTCATCTGGGTCTGCCCAGGCTGGGATGGGGACAGGCTGGCTTTTTTCCATCGGTGTGGGCTCTGGGATGCCCCAAGCAGGGCAGGATGTTCAATTCATCATTACTTCTTGTGCGTTTTAAAGGAGCAGCCACAGGATACTGTGCTTTGATGCTGTTCAGCCACATCCCTCTCTGCAAGGCCACCCCACAAGTACGGGAGAGCGCTGAGCAGTGAGTGCCCTGCACCTCACATCCTTGCCCTGGTGTCTTGGGCACCGGTCCAGACTTAGCCTGAGGAGACTGGTGGCTGCTCTCCAGCAGCTGTAGGGACAGGTGCGTGCAGGAACAGCAAGGACCTCAAATGTGGCTGCCATGTGGCAGCAGCCTAACACCCCTGTCCTAAGGGGTGGCTGCAGCATAGATGAGCAGGGCAAAGGTGTGACTTCTGTCTGGCAGAGCTCTGTTATCCTCTTGGTTACGCTACAGATGTGTGTTTTTATGATGTCTGTATATATAAAAATATGTATGTGTATGTGTACGTAAATGCATACATAAATGTATATGTGTGTGGTTCTGCTCGGTACATGGATGCTGGTCATAGCAAAGGGGCTTTGGCTTGGAGGAATCACAATTATCCATTGCAGAAGCAGTTCACAGCATGCGTTTGTGCATATACAAGCCCCAGTTTCCTCTTCCTACCCTGCAGAGATGAAGAAGGAGGAGAGCACCTTCGGAAACGGTCCATGCATCTTCCCTTTACCTTTGCTACAGGAGAGGCGGTCTTATACCAAAGTGCTTACCCTCTCCCGGGCTTCCCTGACCCTTTCCAGAGCAAAGGGAAAACCAGCAAGTCCAAGAAGACCTCCCACAGCCACGGAGGGTGCTCCCAGAAGGATAGAGTTGACCCCAGTTCCCTGCTGGGCGCCGTGATGCAACAGGACAAGGCGGTGTACATCTCCCATCCAGCTCCCGCACCTAACCACTCCTTCAGCAGCAGCTTCATGGACCACCTCGAGGACACATCCTTGCTGGATGCAGGAGGAGATGCCTGGAGTATGGATGCTACTCCAGGTTCTTCAAGCGGGCACAGACTCAAAGAGGAGCTGGTGGATTTGCAGCAGGAGGACCCTCTCTTGGCCACCCTGGACTCGCTCTCAATTAAGGGTGATGAGAGCTGTTCCAACAATGAGCTGTTCAGTGCACTGGAGGGCCTGGGGTTGAATGCTGAAGACCTGGAGCTCCTGCTCCTGGATGAGAAAATGGTGATGGTCAATATGGACCCTGACTGCACCCCATCTCTGAACGACTGTCTCGCCAGCAACAAGATTCTCTCCTACATCCACACCACTCTGGTGAACAAGCACGGGGGAGGACAACAGGTCTGTCCCCTGCCAGGCACATCCCCGAGCCCACGTGGAGGCACTGCTACATACCAGGCCCACGTGGAGGACGAGGACTTGCAGTACCTGCCCCAGCACGTGGTACAGCCCGGCATTGCCCCAGGCCAGCCCTCTGCTCCACTGTGGGAACAGCCCCTCCACGCTGTGCCAGGGCAGCCACCCCTGCTGCTGCCAGAGCCAGCTGAGGAGGAGGAAGAGCCATCTGATGGCTCACAGTGGAGGCCAGCTGGGGAGGAAGGTCTGCTCCGCTTCCTCCAGCTGGCACGGGGCACCCTCCCGTGGGACAAGGCACCTGGCTCACCCCCAGGAGCCCCCTGCCTGCAGAAGCCACCCAGGGCTCGGCAGCTGGAGGGTGACTTCCTGGCCATGCATCCCACCCAAGAGGATGCTCGCCGGTCCTTCTCCCTGCCCAGCCAGTCCCAGGGCCACGTGCGACCACACAGCCAGCTGAAACACCGTCACTTGCCAATGAATGTGTTGCGTGGCCACAGTCCTTACTCCACTACGCACCTCCTTCCCACCAGCAGCCCCAGCCCATGGCAGGACTATGTTTGCCCGCTCCTGGTGTCCCCAGCTCAGCCTGGTTTTTATAGCATCAGCCAAGACTTGATCTCCCAGCGTCAGGGATGCTTAAGTCCAGGGCCTGGCGCGCCAGTGGTGCGCTTTAACCTGAACAGATTATGCAGCATGGAAGCTATGGGCAGCAGGGGGTCCCAGGAAGAGATGGGTCCATACTCTGGGTTTTTCCCCCCCTCCTCATACCACCTTAATCCTGAGAAGCAGCCGAGCCCTGTTCCCTCCATGCCCCAGCACCCTTTTCCGAGCTCGTCTGCAGAGCGCTTCAGGAGCATTGGCAGCCTGTTGGAGACTCCTGTGAACTCCTATGGGACATACGCCTTCACGCTGAGCCAGGAGAGCAGGCACACGGTAAGGGCTTCTCTCTGCTTTCGTGCTCAGTTTTTTCTGTGCTGGAATTTCCTGGGGGTCTCAGCACAGGGAGGTATGCACTGCCTGGTCAGTAGACAGGAATCACCTTCCTCTAGCTGGTGCATGGCCAGAAAGGAAGACTTCAGGGACTTTTCTTTGCACGAAGAGTTGAAGAGCAAAAGAGCAGAGTAGGCGTTCTTCCCTTTAAAAGGTGTCTGTCTCTGGGTCTGATTTCCATATGGTTTGTTTAATTGCCATTTCTGTACAGGGAGTAATTCCAGCTATGCACTGGTAAGCTTTGAAGGGTGGTACAAAGCATGTGTGAGATAAAGATCTGCTGTATCAGTGTCTTTCCCTTGTGGAAGTGTCCACTGGCCTGTACACAACCCCTATCGAGAGCCCATCTGGCTGCTGCTAGCCCTCCAGCATCACAAGGCAAGGTCTGCAGCACTGGATCTGAGCATCACGGTGCCCTTCAGGGCTGTCCTTAAAGCGACTCTCCTGGGATTGGCACCAACAGCCCAAACCAGGGCTGCTTGGGGAGGGCACAGGGAGTGAAAACTGCCTGGCCCTTTTCCCTCTCCCTGATGCAGATGCCATGCATGTCTGTAAGGGACATGAGCTTTCTGGGCTGGGGCTGATAGCATGGAGAGCTGGTCTAGGTCCTGGAGGAGCCCCTCTCTGCAGTGATGCTTCCCCAGCCTGTAGCACAACCAGGCAGGGTGAGATGTCAGGGGTGGGTCTGTCCTGCCTCCCTGCTTACCCAGCTCTGCCCTGGTGAGTACTGTCCCCAGGGCAGCTTGTTCCTTGCTGCCAAACATCTGCTACTGGAAGGGTGCCCTGCTGTCTCACAGGGATCTCTGTATTAACCTCTGGGGCCATCAGATGCTGTCAAAGCATCTTCTGCTTCTTCCTGAAGACCATACCTTGCACCTCAGGTCCTCCCATTCTCCATCTCCTCCAAATCGATACACCAGGCAGCTTCTGGCTCTGTTGAAGACCTTGACTCTGGTCCTGCCTAGGGATTTGGGAGCTTGTAGGACCAGTGAAGAACAGCCCCAACACATCTCTAGAGCTCGGTGGCCACCTCATGTGGCTGGCATGTTTTTGGCTTGCCAGGAGGAGTGCAGTAAGGGTGCAAGACCCAGGTGCTTGCTTCAGAGGCAGTCCAGGTGCCTGTGATTCACAGAAAGGTTTCATGAGTGAGCTGCAGGGCTGTGATACTTGCTCAGGCTCTGCAAAGGTCAATTAGCAGGTCAGCAGGTGAAAATTAGTGCCAGGTGCACTTGCCCTCTATGTGCTTTCAGCCTCTTGTCAACGAAGTGGTGGGTTGGCATTTACAAGAGGGGACATGGGGAAGGTGTGGGGATGTGTATGGGGTTGCTGCTAAACCCCTGTATCACTGAGGGTGGTAGGGCAGGAGCAGACCTGCTCCCCCTCTTGCCAGCCTCCTCTGGGCACCAGCCCTATCAGTACTAACAAAATGCTGGAAAATGCCTCAACACTCTGTTTTCTCTCTCTTCTCCTAGCCCGAAAGCAGCTGTGTTTTGCCCAGCACTCCCATGGGACTCCCCAGAGACTGCCCGATGCTGGGGGAGAGCTCGGCTGCCCCCTGCCAGCCGCACCCCCAGGCAGAAGTGCTGCCAGATCACCCTGACGCCTCCAGCAGCGACTTCTGTCTCTAGGAGAGAGAGATCAGACTGGACAAAGCAGGACTATTCCCTGGGGAAGGAGCTGCCTTCAAGTTGCAGATAACAAACCTTCCCCCTCCCATGCTCTTGATGTTGGTTGCTTTGGCTGGGCTGTGTTTGCTTGCTTTTTTTTTTTTTTTTTAATTTTTTTTTTAACAAATTCCCCCCCCACCCTCCCCCCCCCAAGGCCCCATGTGCCTGCCTGAGGGTGGTAGGGCAGGAGCAGACCTGCTCCCCCTCTTGCCAGCCTCCTCTGGGCACCAGCCCTATCAGTACTAACAAAATGCTGGAAAATGCCTCAACACTCTGTTTTCTCTCTCTTCTCCTAGCCCGAAAGCAGCTGTGTTTTGCCCAGCACTCCCATGGGACTCCCCAGAGACTGCCCGATGCTGGGGGAGAGCTCGGCTGCCCCCTGCCAGCCGCACCCCCAGGCAGAAGTGCTGCCAGATCACCCTGACGCCTCCAGCAGCGACTTCTGTCTCTAGGAGAGAGAGATCAGACTGGACAAAGCAGGACTATTCCCTGGGGAAGGAGCTGCCTTCAAGTTGCAGATAACAAACCTTCCCCCTCCCATGCTCTTGATGTTGGTTGCTTTGGCTGGGCTGTGTTTGCTTGCTTTTTTTTTTTTTTTTTAAATTATTTTCTTAGCAACTTCCCCACCATCCTGCCCCTGCCAAGGCTCCATGTGCCAGTCCCGTGGAGATGTCCCTGGCCTGGGGAGGGCAGTAGCAGGCAGCAGGGCTGGAGGGCAGGTTTCCACAGGGCACAGGAGCGAGCTGGGCTGTGATGCGGGTCAGCCGGTGTGTGTAGCCTTGTCTGTATCTCGTGGTGTCCAAGGCTCGCGTGGCTCTAGGTCAGTTGGAGGATCTCAGAGCACATTTGTCACTTGCCATCTCTCATCCTACCCACCCAACCTCCTTGCTCTTATTTCCCTGGTGGGGTGAGTGTCTGCCCATCCTGCCTGCATATCTTACTGAGAGTCAACTTTGAAATGTTTGGGCCTTTTATGGTCACTGCTGTCTTTTAAATGGCATTTGGAGACTAACTGTGGTTCTGGAAAGACAAAAAGGATTGCTCTCTATCGGCAGCCAGGCTGCTGAGTTGAAGGTGTGACGTTTGTGGCAAATCCCGCAGTTTGCCAAGAAGCCAGGGAGCGAGCTCTCCATCACACCAGTCTTTGCAGTTCTGCTGTTAACAGAGTGCATTTTTTGGTGCATTTTGCCAGGCTTTTGGAAACCTAGGCTGCTTCCATGGCTGTCACTCCGCTCCCATGGTTTGGTAGTCCCTGACAGTGTCTGTGGGAGGCAGCCCCACCCTGAAGGACAGGCGGGTTTCTGATGGCTAACATCATGAAGCTTCACCAAAGCTTTGCAATTACATGCATGATCCAGCACAAATGCAAGACTTGTGTGTCCAAAAAAAAAAAAAAAAGAGAGACAGGAAAGGTTTTCACCTCTGGTATTAAATTTCCTGCCATCCCAGCCAGGCACCTGTGGCTGTGGCCATGTTGTACAGATATTGCCTATTTTATAAAGAAAGTAAACCCTGACTTGTGTTCTTGTGTTGCACTGGTCCTTCCCCACCACCAGGTTTCTCTGTGTCCCAGGTGTTCCCATTTGTTAGGATCTAGATTAGACCTCCTGTAGCGAACATGCTGGGTATGACGTGCCCAGGTTGGCTGATAAACAGTTTTTCTCCTGGGTGATGGGATCTGAAGTACCTGAACAGGCAGCGGGGGTCATTCTCAAACAGCAGGAGCAGGCTGGCATATAAGCCACGGCTTGCATCTGTGCCTAAAAAGATTGCAGATAAGTAGTGGAGCTGCCTAACTTAAGGAGAAGATTTCAGATTTACTGGGAAAAAAAAAATCAGTAAGATAAAGAAAATAAGTATAATGATACTTAATTTTAAGTACTGATAGAGTGATATTTTCCCACAGAAAATAAATACAGCCTAGACATATGTATATAATATGAGTTGACCCATTTATTTTTATGCCACTCCAGTGGAGGAAAAAAAAACCTCTTACCTTCCCAAAGTAGCATCCCATGGAATGGGACAAAGACACTGTTCAAAAGAGCAGAAATACAGCAACCCTTTAAAAAACCTGACAAAGCAGCATCCGTCTTCCTGCGTATCCAGCTTTGGTTTCATGTGAACTTTCTATCCTTTTCATTTCAATAAATGGTTTTGGACCTCAGCCCCTGACATCTCCCTTGCTGGTTGTGTGTCTCTTCCCTGTCTCAAGCACGTCAGGGTCAAGCCCGGGTCCTGCCGCTGGTGACCTGGGACAGCAGCCGCATGCGAGGGAGGCAGGCAGGGCTCACCCCTGCATGATGGAGGCGGTTGCAGTTGTGCAGTTGAGGTGGTTAAAAAACCTTCTTCTGTGTGTTGCCCTCCACCAGAGGGAGGCAGACCCCTCAAAGGCTCCTACAAAGGAGCCTTCTCTGCTTTTCTGTGTTCCTGTGAGTGCGCTCAGGTCATTCAGTGGAGAGAGCCCAGCCTGGGGACCTTTGTCCATTGCCTTTGGTGAACAGCTGAGGTTTACGGGGCTGGAGAATCGGGCAGCTGAGCTTCCACGTGAGTTTGGGGTGCAGTCTGGCTTGGACACTAGGCTCTGGCTCCTGCTAGCCCTGCCTGTAAGAAGCCCTCTGCTCAGGGAGATCCGAGCTCTGACGTTCAGCCCCCAGAGAGGAAAATTTCCTATGTGTATGATTGCTCTTGGTTCTGTATTGTTGTCCCCTCTGGCACTGGGGACTGCCACGTGCAGGACGTGTAGCCTGGAAGAACTGGAGATGAAGCCATCGTTGGGATGGCAGGCAGCCAGGAGTGCAGCCACCCCACCCCAGAAGCGCTTGCAGCCTTTGGGATGCCAGGCGCACACCACCCATCTTCCAGCTCCTGCCATGGACGTGCCTGCAACCCCTCAAGTACCTGGGAGACACTTTCCAAAGTGCTGGAGAGGTTGGTGGGCTGGGCTGGGCTGGGCAGGGCAGGGCTGGACTGTGTGGTGGGCACAGCTGCTGCCTGTCTGGTTCATGAGCTTTATCCCTTTATCACGGCAGCATCTTTGGCCCGCTCCTGCGGGTGACGCCACCTGGTCTTCAGGGTGCGTTGTGGATTTGTACACCCTGGTGATGTGGCATTTCAGAGGGCTCATGAGGCAGCCTCGAGGTTGTGACGTCTCTCTAGAGAAAGCAGACTTCATGTGCCCATTCTGTCCTTTGGGAAACAACAGGCACATGGAGAGAGGTGATAGGGTGGGATGGTGAACCCCAGTCTTTCATAAGAAAGAAGCAGGTTAAAAGCAGCGGACAACCTCAATATTTAAATCTCAGTAGGCTTGGAGAGCTGATACCCAGGAATATTAAAATAATTAACTGAAACTCTGATCTGGTGATCTGAGTATCTGATGATTTTAAAGGAATGGGGAAAAAGCAAATATTTTGCCGATATTTAGAAAGAATCAGGTGGGATAACTGGAGACCAGCTGGTCAGGTGGGTTTATATGGGCCGGGGCAAATTCTCCAGAAGGGCAGTCAGTTGCTCCAAAGTGAAAAGGTTGCTCTTGTTATTCAGTGTGATCTTTATGCAAAATAAAATTTAGGTGTTTTTGCTGGGTTTTTTTCATTTAAAAAAATTATCAGAAACAATTTTGAAATGAACTGAGAAATTTCATGGAGAAGACTGAGCATGCGGTTATGACAGACTTCTGCGAGAGCTTTTTGCTCATCCTGCATGACTTTCTGATTTAAGAAGGTATCTGCAATGTGAATATGCAGAACCAGAAGCTTCCTCTTGGCCAAGCCAGGGAAGTTCTCTTTCATACAAGAGTTTAAATGTGAGCTTAGCTCAGGTTTGGGATAAAAGTGCCAAGTTTTCTATGAAATCAGTTGTACGGCCCTATATATATATAAAATACATAATTGTATAGAGAGATATATAAACATAAAATGTATACGCCTATAAAATATCTATATAATATAAAATGTCTTTTAATACAAACTAGCTGATACTCTTCCCCTGCATTGTTTTTTCAGTCTGGAAATTAGAAAAAACACAGGTTTGTTTTTCTGAATATTAAATTTTAAAACATTCCCACCCCCACCTGGCACCTGCTTTTCCATAACAAAATAAGGCTATATTGTAACATTTCTCAAGTTTGATGGAGACATGCTGGGAGAATTAGGTCTTTTACAGTTTTTCCACCCTGTTCTGCTTTTTCTCCCTTTCTCTTCCTAAGGAACAGGCTATGGGATGGCATAGGGGATGGAGGGATGGCCACTCTCAGCACTGCAGCACAGGCACCACAGCATCCTTGTGGCTGCAGGTCACTGACTTCTAATGGTCCGTTGAATCTCAGGCGCTGAGAACAATCTGACCAGTAGCAAACTTTCTCCTTGAGCCAGGTCCTGGTTGTAGGAGCAATCATACCCTCGCCACATACCCTGACTGGTTTCTCCTTTTCCATGCCACTTATCTCCACAGCCCCAAGAGCTTCCCAGCAGCCAAAGGGACCTAGGAAGGACTGCACCCCTCCTGGCTTTGGCACCAAGGTGCAATGCTTTACTCGACCATGGTGTCAAGTTGTCCAGTGCTGTGTTTCTGTGAGGTCTATGGAGCAAAAGCCATAGTCTCTGCAGCGGGAGGTACCCTGCAGCAGGTGCCCTATGCTCTTCAAGGAGGCTGGCAATATCCATAATTCATGCCCATCGTCACACCAGCTGCTGCTTGTCCTCCCCTGGGCCTTATGGCAATGACTTGCAATGCACCGGGCCAGCCCCGGCAGCCTGGCTGGAGCAAAACCTCCTGCGTGAGCTGCAGCAAAGGAGGAGCCACCGTTCGGCATCCAGGCATCTGCAGCTTGCCCTGAGCCATGGCAGTAGAAAACTGGGGGTCAGGCAGATGTGCTGTTGCCCTCTTGTTCACACGCCTGGGGTGAGCGCTGTCTCGCAGCGGGGTAAGACGTGTTTGGGTGGCCTTGCTCCAGCTGT